TGTTGCGCGGAGGGTTGGGGGAAGGGTCAATGGGAGGTGTCAGAAGTGAGGGTGTCGGCTCTGCCGTGGCCTACCCCCCACTCCTGCCCCTAGTGCAAACAGCCCTGGGGCGGCCAGGCGCAGATGGGGAGAAGCCACTGTGTACCCACGTTGGCTGGGGGAGCTTGGAGGTACACCAAGACAAAGCTGTGACATGGAGGTGACGAGGTGACAATTTTGGTGTAGTTTGGCATCTTAGCATTCATCTTTATGCAGTTGTTCCCGGCAGGGGCGGGGAGGGACAGAGAGAGGGAAAGAATCTCAAGCCGACTTTCCACTGAGCATGGACGCGGGGCTCGATCTCACGACCCTGAGATTCTGACCAGAGCCGAAATCAAGAGTCGGACGCTGAACTGACCAGCCACCCAGGTGCCCCTATCTTTATGCTTTTTAAAAAACCTTCAAAAAAGGAGGAAACGGAGAAGTGAAATGCAGGATGAGTAATTTACAATGGATCGCTGCCTATCCCCTTTTCCACGTAGGATTTCTGTTACGTTGGAACCTAGTTGCTCTGTCAACACAATACGCTCTGTTTCTGCTTCCTTCATCCCCGGCCTCTGCATGGCCGGCGGCAGATGCATTCTCCATGCTCTTAAATTTCTCTTCACAGTCACTGGTCAGATGAACCCAGCTTAAGGGCTCTGCAAAGACTAGAACCTCTGCTTACATTTCAGAGTCGTCTCTATCCTCCCTTCCTCCCTTCCTTCCTTCCCAAATGTTTGTTGAGCACTGCTTTGTGCCAAGTCCAGTTCTGAGAGCTGAAGATTCGGGAGTGAACACGGTAAGCAGGCGACCCAACCCCCTGGAGCCGACTGTCCGTCCGCTCTGTCCTACCCCGGAGCACCGAGCACTGCTCTGCTTATGGTGTTGGGAGCTAGGAATGGGGCAAAGGGGCAGTGGGGCTGCCCTGGGCAGATCATGCTGTGCAGATCCTTGCCTGGCCGAATGATAACATTTTATGTTGTGACCTTTATCTTTACATCTCTACAGCACTGGCAATGATCCTAAGCATTAAAGTCGTGGATCAAAATCCTCTGCTTTGTTTTTTAAGCACGAAGATCTTTTTTATTACATAAAAAAACTGAGAAGGAAGTCCCCCATCCCCGCACCCCCCCACTGACTGAGAAAGTCCATGATGACAAACCACCAGCCCAACTCTGTGAGGCTCTGAGAAGCACCGGACTTTGTTCATCACAAGAACGTGTCCCTGTGTCCAGGGGCAAAGTGCACGTGTGCAAACAGTCCTCGGTCCAAACACATTGCTTGTGAACGGGCCTCACGCCTAGAGTTCTCATCATGGGCTGGAACATTCGGAGCCTTTGTCTGTGTTCTCCTTAATCCCCCCAGCGCCCCTCTGACTTAGGGCCTGTTCTGGGAACCTCACTGCAGCTCAGTGACTCAGATTGGAAGTGGTTGAGCAGGATTTGAACGCAGACCCCGAGTGGGTGGGGGGAGGGCCCCTCGCTAGAGAAGCTGTAGGCCCAGATGTGTGCCGCCCACAGGTTGGGACACCGAATGAGAGTCTGCCATTTCCTGTCTCAGAGAATAACAGCTCCTAAGGATGATCCTTAATATCATTTGCTGTCCGAAAATGGTTCTTACCCTGAAAAGCTCTCAATGTCAGCCTCCTAACGGCCCTCACCTTGGCATTCGTAGAGCATCCTCCCAGCACAGCTGTGCTTGCGCCCCATCCCGGTGCCTGGGGGCCCAGTGGTAGAGGCAGTGTCCCGGCTCGCTCCCCTCCTGCTTTCCAGTCAGCTCCCCCAGCTAGGCCTCTAAGCCCATTCTGGGGTGACCATGAACACTCCTTTTTCGCTGTGGCCACGGAAAGATACAGCCACCCCCGTGGGTGGGAGCCTCCAGCCACACACTTGCTTGGTAGCTGCCCCCTGAAGTGGGAAGGCTGCCCCTGGGCCCCCAGCACCAGTCACCCCACTGCTGAGAAGAGAGTTGGGGTGCACTCCACCCCCATGTCTCCGCTGGCCTGGTCACTGCTCACACGTGGGGGCCCTGCATCCTCCCCTGGATGGTGACACTGGAACGAACTGGCTTCTCTGGAGGACCGTGTCCCAGCCAGCTGGGGGATACCTGTCTCCCACCCTCCCCTGCCACTAGTCCATGAACAGAACCGTGTTTTACATGAGAAAAGACCTGGGAGGGTGAGGAAGTAGGTGCAAAGGACCTCTGGCTTTTTAAAAGTGGACTTTGGGGGGCGCCTGGGTGGCTCAGTTGGTTGGGTGACTGCCTTCGGCTCAGGTCGTGATCCCAGGGCCCTGGGATTGAGCCCCGCATCGGGCTCCCTGTTCGGCGGGGGGCCTGCTTCTCCCTCTCCCACTCCCTCTGCTGCTCCCCCTACTTGTGCTCTCTCGCTCTCTCTCTGTCAAATAAATAAAAATAAAATATTTTATAAAAAACAAAAAGTGCACTTTGGGGTGGGAACCCTGCTTGCAACGCTGAGCTGTCCCTCCTGAGCGCCCTCAGACCACACCTCGGAGCCAGGCCCCCTCTTCTTCTGGACAGAAGGGTCCCTGCAAGATGTCGTGCAGATTGTCACGTCCCGGCGAGCTGGAAGGGCACTGGGGGAGGCGTGAGCTGGCTCTGTGTGTCATCACAAGAGCAGCTAAAATTCTGAAACAGAGATCCCACGGAGCTGGCACCCTCGAGATGCTCAGGAAACAGGTGTCTGCAGGCCTGTTTTCCTCTCACGTCTCCGCCTCAATCTCACACGCCGGTCCAGCCTGAGACGCTTAGCCAAGACCAAGTGCAGCTTGGCAGCCCCACGTCCCAGGACAGCTTGTGGCCAGGACGGGGGTTGGGGGGGGTCGGGGCAGGAGGCTGGAGGAGGGGCACCTGCCCGGAGGGTCTCCTGGCTGGCGAGCACGTGGCCTCCCTGGCGACAGCCCTTGGGAGCTGAGGAGTCTGGGTCCGAGAAACAGGCTCGCGGCGGCAAAGCCAAGCCAGTTGCTTTAGGAATCCTTCTGGATATACAAATTGCTGCACATCTCATCTCGTTGTCAGGAACGTTCGCCCCGGTAACGTCATCGGGCCTTTGCAGAAGGCAGTGACGCTGGGCTGCTTTGATGCATGTTTTCCTTAAATACCTCCGCCTTGGAAGCCTTTGCAGCTCGGTTTCACAGACCTCATCTGCTTGCTGCGCGCCAGCCGCCTCCTTCCCCGGCCTCCTTCCTGAGGCTCAGCAATGACTCTCTCTCGCTTGTGACGGATGGAAAAGCAAAAGCTAACATAACTGCACGTCTCGGAAAAGTTTCAAGCGAGGAACATGGATCATAAAACGTGCAGCTCTATTTTCACCAAGTCCTCTCAAGGCCGGTGCTGAGAGGAAGGGGCGCGGGCGGTGACCCCGGAGAAAGCACCTGCTGGGCAGACAGAACACGGTCGCTTCTCCCGTCGGAGCATCATTTTGCCCCGGGGTTAGACTAACGTCAGAGCTGTGCCATCCACCCCGGCATCGTGCCATGGCCACGGCCAGGGGTCCCGGGGAGTGTGGGAAGGGGTTTTCCAGATGCGCCGAGCCCCAGCTGTGGTGATGGGGGGAGCTCCGGGCTGATCAGGCAGCCACCCCCCGGCCCTCCCGACAGGGCAGCTCACCCTGCGAGCCAGCCTGGTGCTCTTCGAGGTGCTGGGGTGTGGCGGTCCTGCGGGCTTACCTCGGGCCAGCCACCCAGCCTCTCTGGGCCCCTGGACTTCGTTTTAGTCCTTTTCCCCCTCTCCCTGCCGAAGCAGAAGGGATTTTCCCCAATATGACTGTGAGAAGCTGGCCGAGCTCCTGGGGAAGCGCCCTGCCGTGTGTCCGGCAGCTGCCGGCAAATTCGGAGAGGGTGGGAGCAGATCCATCACCAGTCGAGCCTCTGGAGGAGGCCCAAACCCTGGCCACCATCCCGGTTGGAGCCTTGGACGACCCAGCTAAACAGTGCCCATAATCCCGACCCACAGACATGTCGGGATAGGAAACGGGGCTCCAGCCATTTGTGTGTCCCTAAGGGTGTCAGGTTCGTTCCCTGCACACAGTCACGGTCCCGGTCAAGCAGGTTTGGGTGTGACTCTACCCACTTGGGAAGCTTTCCTCTGTGCCTGTCCCACCTGTGTTTTCCTTGCTCTTCCCTCCTAAGTGCAGCCCCCTAAGTGTCAACAGCCTGCTCTCTTCCGGGCAAAGGGTCCTGACTTGCAGCGTGAGACCATGAATGAGGTGTCAATGTTTCCGCCGTGGCTGATTGCAAGCCTGCAGGCTCTTGTGAGATCACCAGGGATTGGATACAATCCTTCTGCCCTCCTGGCTCGGAGGGAGGGTCTGCATGCTCTGAGCATGTGCCTTGCAGGAGTGGGATGGCTTCTCCAGGGACTGGCTCTCAGGCTGAAAGTCAAGGTGTCGGCCAGGGTAGGTGGGGTGACTGACCCAGACAGAGAGAAGGAGCATGAGCGAGATGCACAGTGTGCAGGGGAGAAAGGTCTGGTACTTTCTGGAACCGAGACAAGGCCCAGAGCAGGGCTAGCCCTGTGTGGAGCCTGCATGGAGGCTGATCACAGGTGGGCATCAGGACAGCTCACGAGGCCATCTGTCCTAGAGCCCCCCCCCGCAGATGGCACTTCTCGTTGGTGACTGACAGCTCCGTCCCTGGGTGTGTCACGGCGCTGAAGGGGCTGGGGGGTTCTGGGCTGGCTTTGGGCCCAGCTTTAAGGAGACTGACGCTTCCTCATTCCCGTTTTAATATAAAATAAAATCTGTGGATTAAAATTCTTTTCAGGCTCTTGATCAAACCTTTCCTTTTTATTTCTTTGTTTATGGCAAGTGTAAATTCACCTAGTTCTTCATTTCGATTGAAGCATACTTGCTGGAGAATTTCTGTAAAATATACTCAAGCCCTGATCCTGCTGCTGTCTTGCTTTCACTGTAGCGATTCCAGGTAGTAATTGTTTCCTCCCCTGGTTTGTGGTGTTTCTAGTCACTGAACAGTTCAATGAAGCACCTGTGTGAGATCCTCACCGTGGACCCCGAGGGCGGGCCTGCGCGCATCCCGTTTGAGACGTTCTCCTACGTCTACCGTTACTTGTCCAAAATGGACTCGGACATCCCTGAAGTGGACACGGAATCCTATCTCGCCACTTTAAAGGACACTGTGTAAGTATGAGCCCTCCCTGGAATTCCAGTGCACGGACCGCTAGAGAAGGTCTTTCTCTCTCTCCTCTCGGGTACCTTTGCTCCGGGGAATCCGGCCTTTGCCAGGAGGGAGAGCAACACACATTGCGCTCCAGATGGCCCCAAGATGGCCCCAGGCCGTGCTAAAGAAAGCTGAACCTCAGGAGGCAGCTTTTCTTCACGCGTGGTTCAGGGCAGTGCTGGACTGAAGTCGGGTTCTCTTTATCCCGTCTCTAAGAAAAGTTCATCAGAATTGATCTTGATTCTTCAGTCCAGTGTGTCCAGTGGTTTAAAATCACAGCATGTCAAAGAGGAAGATAGAAGGCACGTCTCAGCGACGCCGCAGGTAGAGGGTGTGATGTCATGCCTTTGTTCCCTGAATGTTTATCGGGTGCTGGCTCCTGTGCCCTGTCCTGCTCATCCTGGGAGCGGACAGACACCGGACTCACAGACCCCGCCAGCAGGCAGGGTGGAGGGCCGTGAGAACGGGATGGCGGGTGGGCGGGGAGAGGCGGGACACTTGGCTTGTCATCACCGCCAGACTTGGGTCCCTCCTGCCCTCCCACACCTTGCGTGCTTGGGGCACCAGGGCCAGCCCCGGGACTCCCTGCTGCCACCGTGGCCATCTCTCCTCGGCTCCGCCGCCTCGTCCCTCCCAGACCGTGTTCTGTCCTCCCTCCTTCAGAATCCCTGCCCTCCCCCCGCCGGTCTTCCCTCTCCTCTGTGTGCCATCCACTGACTTGCCCTCCTCCTCCCGGGGGACACTCTCTTCGTGCCCCGACACCCCCAACACCCACAGTTCTTGGAGACTCAGCCCTCCCCTCGCCAATGTCCCAGCAGGCGCTCACCTTCCCCTCCTCCGCAGCCACGCTCACCGGCCCCTTGCCCTGTGGCCTGGCTCCCCGTTTCCAGGGCGCCACCCTTCTCTTTCCTGATTCCTCCAGTACCACCCGCAGCTGCCCACCAGTGGTGAGCCATAGGAGGGGACCAGCATCACGCCCCCACCTGACCTGCCGCCCTCCTGAGTGTGACCTGGTCCCCAGCCCAGCTGAGCCCCCACTGTGCCTGCCCCCTTCCTCACCACCAGCTTCCTCCTGGCCCCATCCCACCTCGCCGGGACACAGGCAAGCTCCTTGTGTGTCAGCATCAGAGCTCTTGCCCCATCTTGGGTCCGGGACAGTGGGGGCTGCATAGACGCCGTCCTGTCCCTCACCCCAGACTCATTCCCTGTTTGACTCCAGACCCAACCTGTCCCACTGACTCTGAGGCCGCCGAGGCCGCCGGCAGCTTCCATCATGCTTTCCTACACACACTCCCATTGGTCTCCCCCTTCCCTCCCTCCCTCTGCCCCACCTCTGTGAATCTCAGCCCTTTTGGCCCTCTGTCTGGGCCCCTCCCGTGGGGACTGCCGTCCTGTCACAGAGCTGGCCTTGCTTCCCAGCTCCAGACTCCGATATCACACTGCCCACTTGACCTTTCCACTGGGATGTCACACGCCAGGCTGAAAATGTCCCAAAAGAAATCCACATCCTTCCCATACATTTCGTTCCTCAGTTTCCCCCTTCTGTAAACTGCATCACCAGCTCCCCATGAGGTCAGGACAGAGACGTGGGTGACCCCTGATGATGCCCCTTTCCTCCCCCCACACCCCCTTAATCCATCCCACCTCCTGTCCTTCCCTCCATTCCTGGGGCCCCGCTTCCTCCTGCCCCAGCCTACCCCCCCCGCAGCCCCTTGTCCTTTAAAACGATAAATCGAGTCACTTTCCAAAGGCTTCTCACCGACACCTTCATGGCCTCTGGGCCCCACACAGCCACGTGGGTCTGTGGGTTTCAAGCAGCCCGAGCTCCCTGCCCCCCAAACACACTTCGGGCTCCGCACTCGCACTCGTGCTTTTGGAACAGCCCCGCCCCCTTTGCACGGCTGCCGGTTGTCGCCTGCTCCGAGAGGCCTCTGGTAAAGGGCCCTCCCCATAAAGCAGCTTCACTTACCCCCCTCCGTCCCTCCGAGAAGTCACCGAAGTCACCGTATGGGATGTTCATGGAGTGCAGCGATGCGGGCTGGTTCACCGGCCTGGGGTGGTGTCTGCTCGCCCAGTGGTGCTCAGGGCACATTGGCGGGTGGACGGCACCCCTGGGCTGCCTGCCCCCCCACAGGCGGTGGAGGTGAAGGGGCACGGGAGCCTCTGGGGAGTTTGGGTTGAGTCTGGTGACAATGGAGAAGAGCTTAGAGAGGGAAGCGGGTGGTGGGTTCTGGTTGGAAGGACCCCCCTTCCCCCCCTGAGGCATGAGACTTCTGCAAAGGTCCAGACCAAGAGGGGCGAGGCTGTAGGGCTGACCCAGATTTGGGAGGCTAACTGGACGTGAGGAGTGGGCGACAGAGGCTTCCAGGCCTGCCCCGAAGGGTGCTGCTGTCTCCCAGAACGTGACCTGTGGCGGCGGGGGAGGCCTCGTGAGCTGGTGGGCCTGTGGGGTGACCCGGGGGGGTTGTCCAGTGAGCGCAGCCTGGGCTGGAGTCCCCCCAGGTGGTGCCGGATGTGGCAGGGTGAGGAGGGTGCTGGCTGGTGGGGGTGCAGCTGGAGCTCCAGGCTTTGAGGAGGGGGGTGAGCACGAGGAGGAGGAGGAGTGACCCTGGGACAGAGGGCACAAGGAAGGGCGGGGGGTGGGGGGCGGACAAGGATGGGCGTTGCCCAGTGCGGCCAGCTGCAGAACTGTCCCTTACATTGTGACCTTGGCAGTGGTGATTTCAGAGGAGTCGTGGGGCAGGGGAGCCAACACAGTGCAGGCTCCAGCTCCCCCAGATGACCCTGCAGACGGGGGTGGCCCCTGGAGGGAGGGGCTGAAGGTAAAGGAGAAGCACACTCAGTTGCCGGGTGGGTGGGGGGTCAGGTGTATAACCTGGTGCCTTGTGCACCCCGACATGGACAGCCCCCTCAGAGCTCACAGGAAAAGCCTGAATGCACCTGGGCACCCCAGTAACCCATTTTGGGTCAGGGCACAGAGTTTGTGAGCTGGGCTTGTCTAAATCTTACAATTTCTGCTCATCCACTGAGAGCAAATCCATCCCAGCAGCAAGCGCCTGGAAGGCACACAGGATGGGGGCAGCGGAGCTTAGTGGGTGAGCGCTGTGGCCGGCTGGCCTGGGTCAGAGCACTCCTCTCCCCACCCGCTCCCACCCACCTTTGTAGACGGGCTGACTCGGCCTCTCTCGGCAGTGGGAGGGACTTCTGCCTATTCAGTAATCGAGTCACTCAGTCATGCATTCATGAATTCATTGCTCATTTCCAAGAGTGTTTCAGACCCATCCACGCGTCCCTAGTGGAAGGTGCTGGACACTCAGGTACCGATGAGCTGAGGGCGTGCATGAGCGGAGACAGGCTGGGCTGGGCAGGCCGACCAGGGGCCCTGGCTGACGGGATGCCCTGGGGGCCGACCCGGAGGTGGCTTTTCAAGGACCTAGCCTGGGAGGCTTGGGAAGCCCCTAGAAGGTTGGAGTGGCCCCTTCCTGTTTCCAGAAGGATCTGGCATGGTGTGTTCATGGCGAGATTTGTTCTGTAGCCATTAGCAGGTACCCAGGGTGAAGAATCAGTTCACAAGGGAAGTCCAAAGAAGATCCCATTTGGTGTTTCTCTTCCATCACTTGGTTAATGGCTCTTCCTTAACTGGGGAGATACACTCCAGCTGAGCCTCCATTTGCTGTTAGCACAGCTAAGACAGCAAACCCACTTTCTCCGGCAGCCTGAGGAGAGCTGTAGGGGCCACTGTGGCGGGAAATCCTCATGCCCAGGAGAGCATGGGGTCAGGGTGACAGGCACCGTTCTCCAGCGTTCTATTCTTCACCTCTAAGCAGCCACAGTGAGAAGCTTGGACACCTGTGATTCCCCTGGGGCTGTGAGAGATGGTTGCTGTTTATGGTAAAATGTGGTTTAGGACTGCTAACTGATGTTCCCTTTACCTTGAAAATACGAGCCCTCGAGATGGTTCTCCTTTCCCCCACCGACATAGAGAATGAATATTGTTCAGCATTTTTACATCCACGGATGTTGGCACTAGAAACGTGCTAATGCTTCACCATCTCTTAAGAAATAGAAGTATCTATAGATAAAAAGAAAAAGCGAGGGACATGCTGTTGGCAATGCCAAAGTTTCATAGACTCAAGACCTTTGAGTTTCACTGGACCAACTTTTCCAATAGAAGGATACTTTTGTTTCAGTAGTGACTAAAATTTGAATGGCCAATAAAGAAGAATGTATAGTACTGATTTTTTCACCTAGAAATAAATGCCCATTTTTGTACAAGAAAATATAATGCTTTAGTTTTAGAGTTAAAAATTACTGATTAGAGGGGCGCCTGGGTGGCTCAGTTGGTTAAGCCATTGCCTTCGGCTCAGGTCATGATCCTGGAGTCCCGGGATCGAGTCCCGCATCGGGCTCCCTGCTC